GAGAACCAAGTTCCAATTCCAGTCGGGTTTGTTATATTCACTTAAGCGCAAATACCATTCGAAAAGATATGAATCTACCTATCCTCCCCCAGCTATGGGTTAATTAGTAAGACTTGTATCACTAAACCATTAATATCTTCCCCCAAAATTCTTACCATCTAAAATATTTTCTGGCTTTTAATAACCTTCAATGGGTTGATAAACCGTAAAAAACGAATCGATCAATCAACAATCTTATACTCTTTTAAGTCAATCGTTAACTATTCTCCATATCTACGTAATTCTCACTTTCTACTCTTACATTCATATCACCAACCTCATTCAGTAACCCTATACCTTGAGTGGCTCTTGGGTGGGAATTAGTACAAAATAAAATAAAATTCTCACAACCCTGAAGAATGAATCGTAAAATGATAGAAGAATTAAAAATTTGATGCAATTTTTAAACGGTACTGCCAAAATGAACATTGATAATGAGGAAGGTCCCTGAAATTTGACAAGACTTGTTACCCTTTATACCCAGTGAATGCAACGTCAAATCTCAGGTGAGATGCTACAACTAAACACAGCAAAACGGATGATAAAAAAGAAAGAAATACGTAAATGTCACCGAAATAGAAAGAGAGAGAAAATATCTTTTAATCCGAAATATAGATTCAGCAGGGCGTATAATTGAATACTGATGTATCGTTTTCTAAGGTGAATACCCACAGCCGGGGGGCCCGTTAAGCGAACACACAAGGCATGGGGCCAAGGGTTAATGAAGTCGTTAAAGAGCGGGCGCTAACCCGGATAAGTTTATCCACCCGATAATGGTCAAGTATACGTTCCTATACCTCAATAACTCACAAAAAAGGAACACCTATTACTTACCTATAGATAGGTAGCTTATTTATGTTTCTTCCGCCCAACAGCGCCATTTTCTTTTGACGAAGAGGATGTCTGGTTGGAGCTGGATTTTTTAATAAGAAACCACTTAGTGAAGAGGAGAAGCTGCCGATATTTGTGTGAGTTTATCTAGGGTCAGACGAGGAGTCCAGTTGATGTCGTTTCAATGGAGTGTGGAGTGGATGTCATTCTTTTACCTGTTTCAAACATTCAAAGCATTCGTGTCGCTCAATAGGCGTTGACAACGTTCGAGACGGTTTAAATTTGTTATTGGCGGCTCCTTATCCGAGATTTTATTCAGAAAACATCCGGTGGAGATGTATCCATAACATAATGTCATCCACGTCTTTCTCTACTCAGTAACAATAAGATAAAAAAAAAAGAGCTCCACACTTATCTAAACATGTAATGCTTCAAGCATAATAGGCAAATAACCTTAGTTGCTATAATTAATTCCGGTAAAAAAAAAAGAGTTGAATTCAACGTTTTTCCTTTCGAATGAAAGAATTATCATTGCATGGTTACTTTACTTTTGACGCTGGTCTTTGTTATTTTTTTGTCTGTTTTTTTTTTTTTTTTAATATTTTTTACTGGGATTTTTTGACTATCTATCTATCTATCTATCTATCTATCTATCTATCTATCTATCTATCTATCTATCTATCTCTTGCATTCTCCCCTCTCTCTCTCTCTCTCTCTCTCTATCTATCTATCTATCTATATATATTAATTTATATACAAAAACACACTCATTATCAGTCTCTCTCAGTCTGTTCATATCTATCTCATTCTCTCTTTCTCTCTCTCTCTCTCTCTCTCTCTCTCTCTCTCTCTATATATATATATATATATATATATATATATATATATATATCAATTTATATACAAAAAACACACTCATTAAGTTATTTAGGAATATATGCGCCAGTATAATTATATATACTACTAATACATACATACAAAGATGTATTTTCTTTTACAGTAAACGATATATTTCTCTCTCCCTTCGTTCTCACTATATATATATATATATATATATATATATATATATATATATATATATATATATGTAGGAGAGAGATGTATGTATTAGGAGTATATATATATATATATATATATATAAATAAATATAAAAATTTCGCTTGAAGATGGAACAGAGCTTATTTTAACTCAATTTAATTTAAATAATTATATTGAAGTTTTCGGCTCTTGTTTTTGAAACATGGGACTTCTTATGTCACAATTTGGAATCATATTTTAAATAAATAATTATATTTATGCTCTACTTTTGTATCGAGCACTATTTTTAAAAAATAATAACTAAAATACTAAAGGGACTTTGGATTATTTACCTAACCAGTTCCTTCCTATTTTCTATATATTTTCACACACACATATATATATATATATATATATATATATATATATATATATATATATATATATATACACAGGTTAATGTAAAAGAAAATACATCTTTAAATGTAAAAAGAAAATACATCTTTATATATATATTATATGTATATATATATATATATATATAGAGAGAGAGAGAGAGAGAGAGAGAGTGTGTGAGATAGATTATGATAAATAAATTGTCATCTAAATTACACAAAAATAAAAATAACACTGGCATCTCATTTTAACAGATATATTTTCCAAAATTATCTTGAAATACTAAACAGTATATTTATTCAATAAAATCGCCATTGGTTTTAACCCCGAACTCAAGACGACTTCGGAATCTTCTGCAACTCATCGGGACAGTCTTCTTGTTTAAGTTGGTGAATGCTGCCATAATCCTTGCCTTCAATTTATTTTGGTGTTAGAAAGAGTTTTGTTTGTCTTTCGCTCAACGGCACCCCACACATTATAATCAAAGGATTGCAGTCTGAGGAGTTGCGCAGATGTAAAGCCTGATGTAGTCGGAGAAAATATCCGACAGTCATGGCTGGGTCATCCAGCTTATATTTCTATGGTACTGAGTCCTGTTGCCATACATAAGGTCTTCCAGCAGCCATCCTTTTTTGACCCAAGAAAGCACTACCTCCCAAGACAATTGATGTTCTAATACGTGTTGAGCTTGAGCCATCTCACCTAACAAATATATCATTCTTTTATCGCCTGAACGATCAGAGTGATTTTTGAGCTGTCGTACCTTCACCGAGTACCATTAGACTCATGCAAACTTTTTTTCAGAATCCTTTGCACTTACCTGGGATTGACACCCAAAACTTTTGAAGTGTATGTATTGGAGAGTACTGCGCGAATGCCAAACAGGAAACATACGGTTTCCAAATTTCTGGCGGAGTGAATTGCGTCATGGTGCTCTTTTTCTCACAATGCCCAGCTGACATTACTATACTGTGCAGTCGACAAAATCAAAGACAAGACAACACGCATGCACGAAATTAAAAGTCTAATATGGCGACAATTTAGCCATCGCACCTTGTATATATATCATATATGTATCGCCTAAGCGTGTATCACGCATGGCACATAACTGACTGACACCGAGTACGAAGTGACTTGAAAATTATTAGCTGAAATATTTGCGTTTACCTGGGTTCGAACATCGACCACTGGTGCCGGTATGAAATACAAAATGACCGTATCCACCAAACAGCGTGTTTATATATTGTCCATAAATATTTACTTAATCTAGTCTGGCGCAAAGCAAATCGGACTCCTCAATTATGTTTGCAGCCAGTGAAATGATGACATTTCATCGATGGCGCGGAGAGCTTAAAATAGCGGAGAGCTGAAAGTGGCGGAGATCTAAAATGGCGGAGAGCTGAAAGTGGCGGAGAGCTAAAACTGGTGGAGAGCTGAAAGTGGCGGAGAGCTAAAAAATGGCGGAGAGCTGAAAGTGGCGGAGAGCTAAAAATGGCGGAGATCTGAAAGTGGCGGAGAGCTGAAAGTGGCGGATATCTAAAATGGTGGAGAGCTGAAAGTGGCGGAGAGCTGAAACTGGTGGAGAGCTGAAAGTGGTGGAGAGCTAAAAAATGGCGGAGAGCTGAAAGTGGTGGAGAGCTAAAAATGGCGGAGAGCTGAAAGTGGCGGAGAGCTGGAAATGGTGGAGATCTGAAAGTGGCGGAGAGCTGAAAAAATGGCGGAGAGCTGAAAATGGTGGAGATCTAAAATGGCGGAGAGCTGAAAGTGGCGGAGAGCTAAAAAATGGCGGAGAGCTGAAAGTGGCGGAGAGCTAAAAATGGCGGAGATCTGAAAGTGGCGGAGAGCTGAAAGTGGCGGAGATCTAAAATGGCGGATATCTAAAATGGCGGAGAGCTGAAAGTGGCGGAGAGCTGAAAATGGCGGAGATCTGAAAATGGTGGAGAGCTGAAAGTGGCGGAGAGCTAAAAATGGTGGAGAGCTGAAAGTGGCGGAGAGCTGAAACTGGTGGAGAGCCTTCAGGTTGAAGCATATAAGCTGTGCTTATAAAGAGGGATGGGCCACTCCAGGTCTAATTTGTCCAATACATGCTATGCTTGAATGAATACCACTCCGGATTTCAATCCAGATCTATGGAGGGAACAGCACAGCAATCCTAAATTCACCCCCTTTCATCGGACTGATGATGATAATGATGATGAGGAGGTCAAGGAAGATGATGTTGAAAAAGAGAAATCGGGAAAGGATCAAACGATTTTGAATACTCGTGCACATATATAAGAGAAACCAACACGAACTTTGCTGTACTGGTCATTTACAATTCATTGAATAATTAACTGATTTGTTTTTTACAGCTTATCAACCTTTAGCAGGTTATTTAAACCAGAACATATTTTTAGATTGTAAGGATATTTTGAAGATAATATTGCTTTGATGATACAAGTTCTACTAATTAACCCATGGCTAGGGGATAGGAAATGTATTCATACAGTTAAAGGTATTTGCGCGTAACGAACACTACTGGAATTGGAACTCGGCTTTCTGATTTCAAATCCCGAGCCGTTGACCTTTGCGCCAAGAAGCTTAAAGAACCCAGTATCCCCAATCGGTTACACATCTAGGTACTGATCAGACTGGTGGTTGCTTAACTTTGGTAATCGTACGAGAACCGCTCTTTTAACTTGATATGACCATAACCCATACTATCCGCATATTCAAGCTTACAATCCCTTCGTATTCCCAAGCGGTCACCCATGTAGGTACTGATCAAGTACGGCGTTGCTTAACTTTGTTGATCGTATGAGAACCGGTGCTTCAAGATGAAATGTCCGTAAGCCCATTATACCACACGCCCATCCAAGCTTACAGCATTTGGTATTCCCAAGCGGTCACCTACCTAGGTACAGACCAGGCTGGAGGTTGCTTAATTTCGGGGATCATACGAGAACCAGTATTTCAACCTAATGTGGTCATAAGCCATACCACCGGCATATCAAAACTTACAGTACCTGGTATTCCCAAGCGGTCACCTTTCTAGGTACAGACCAGACTGGTGGTTGCTTAACTTCGGGAATCGTACGAGAACCAGTATTTAAACCTAATGTGGGCGTAAGCCATACTACTTTCATATCAAAGCTTAGAGAACCTGCAATTCTCAAGCGGTCACTCCTCTACGTACTGATCAGGATTGACGTTGCTTAACTTTGCTAATCGTACAAAAAAGGAAAAAACAGTATTTCAACGAGATATAGCCTTAAGCCGACAGTTTGCTGAAATATCCGAATACAGATAGATTCAGCCTAAGAAATGCGAAGCAAAGATCACAGAACATTAATCACACTTGACACAATCCAAATGTCATGGGAACATTGAAGTGTTTCAGGTCAGGCTCAAATCACATTAAATATTTTGTTTTCAAACTGTTCATCGCTGTATACACATCTGGCGAGGCAGAAGCGACTGTGAAAGGCTCTGTTCAGCCAAATAATATATCTATAACAGCGAATCTATAAATTGAATTGAATACAAACTATATATTGTGTATTTGTGTGTATAAAATCATGCAGACGCAGTTATGTGTATATGTGTGTCAACTTCAGATTCTCTGTGTGTCGGTGAATGTGCGTAGTGAAAGGTTTGAGGAATTTTTTTACACTAACACGCCTTTGATACGTGTAACTGCACACACACACACACACGCAGAAACACGCGCTTGCACACGCGCACACACACAAATATATATATATATATATATATATTTTTTTTTTTCTGTTTATACGTTATTTTCTAGATGTAATTTATTTAAGTAAATGCTCTGTTTTTTTTTTTTTTTAGTTAAACAGTATTAATTACATTTACCGGTCTAAATGTTCGACATATGGGTAAATAGCAGGGCAAACTGGGTTCTATAGCCTTTGATGGCAACTAGTCTCGGAGAAGGACAACTCTGAATTCAAAACCTTCGGAGGATTGTCTGGGGACCTTGTGGCACGTAGGGAACCAGGTCTCTGTATTGAGCCCTTCAAAAAAGTCTGGTTGGTTCTACACAAAGCCTTCACCACTATAATCAAATCATATGTGCTGGTGTCTGGGTTCTCGGTTTCTAGGATCTGAACTGCTTGACCCTCAGAGTCTGTCTATATTTCTGAGATGAGGCATTATGTACATTATTTACATTATTCGGACTATTGTCCTCATCTTTGTTGATATATTTATCACAACGTTTCGGCCGTTGTACGCTCCGGCCTTCTTCAGGTGGTTGGAATTTCGAACTGAACCCTTTATTTCGCTCACTGGGGTAGACTGTTCTAGTTCCACGTGCCATGTTTGATGGGTGTCAGTTATCAGTTATCTCCTGCTAATTTCCCTCTCAGGGACACATGGCACAGTGGATAAAGGCGTTGGTTAGATCCAGTGACTGGACCCAAAGAGTGTGAGTTCAATACCCGGTTAAGGCAGTGGAGAACTTTCAGAGAGGAGGTAAACCGACCCTGAACCCGTTTATACGGGTTCAAAGGGCATATTTTTGGCCGAGCCCACGGCCTCGGTGATCCCACGTTAAACCGGCCTTGTGCCACATGATGCCAACGTGGGGGGCGGTGACTAAAAAAGTGTTCAGTCTGAAGTCTGGAGTTAGGGCCGTCAGGAGTCAGTCAGTCAGTTAGAGAGAGCGAGTCAGTCAGTTGAGTCAGAGGCAGTCCGAAACAGAGTGCGTTCAGACATTGGAATAGTGATACTGGTCGAGACTACATTGTTCTCCCGACTAAACCTGATTGTTCGTACTAACACTTTCTACTTCTCTGTATATATTTCTGTTTGTAATATATCCTTGTTATTCCATATCCGTGTTCGAATTCTTCTTTATTGGTTCTACCTTGGACCATCACCGTGGTACCAGGAACCGGACCACAACAAGTTCATTACTCGTTTCTTTCTTAGGAGATTTTCCTGTTTCTTAATACTTTGTTTTGCTTTTAGTAGGCATCTTTCGCTATCCCAATACCCCTTCAGATTTCGATCTCGCATTTTCTGTCCTGTGTTAAAACAATTCCTAGATATTTGAATTGTTGTAATTGCTTGGTTTTGACATCTCCAATTTTTAATTCGCATGTTGGTCAATCCCTTTTGCTGACAACCATATATTTTTACGGGAATCAATTATTGATTGATTTTTGCGATCTGTCTTAAATTTGATTTTAAAATCCCTCTTTCACGTATGCAAGCCCGTATATCGGTCCCTATGAGGGTTGACAATAGGCGTAACAACTGGTTGCAGTTTATATTACGTGTGTCGTAATTATGTGAGAATGGACTGACGACGTGTTGACTCATTCTTTCTTTCTTTTTATGGGCTATGTCGTTTCAGAACGTAGGAGATCATGGCTCTCCATCTCTCTCTATCCCTTGTAGCTCTCAACAAGTTCCTTCCCTCTGCTTCCTCCCACAGACCACATTCTGTCATCCACTTGCCAGGTATGTCACGTGTTGTTTTCCCTTGTCTCTCTTTCCCTCTTTTCGACCCGTGAGTATCAGATTCTCCAGCCCCCCCTTCCACATTATGTGTCCTAGAAACTCCAGCTGCCTCTTCCTGATATTAAGTATAAGCCTCCTCCTTGTTTGCAACCTCCATAAGATCTCATCGTTGCTCACATGCTCGATCCATGATATCCTTAGCATCCTTCTGTAGAACCAAATCTTTGTCGCCTCGTGTCTCTTCTTCATCTTTGACGAAATCGTCCAATATTCGCTGCCGTAATGAAGGATAGATGACCTCGGGACATGGAACGTCCGGACAGTGAGCAACTGCTGACAGTTTGATAATATTAATCGAGAGAGGAACAGACTTAACATAAATATTCTAGGTGTATGTGAAACCAGATGGCCAAATAACGGGGATTTTGTCAGAGACAAACATAGGATAATTTATGCAGGCGGCGAGAATAACGACAAAGGAGTAGGACTAATACTAGATAACGAACTTATGAAATGCGTTCTAGGATACCACCAGCTTTCTGAAAGAATTCTGCTATTGACGCTGAAAGGGAAGCCTTTCAACGTGGCTGTTACAGTAGTGTACACACTGACGACACAAAACAGGGAAGAGGAAATCGAATCGTTCTACTTCATACTGGACAGTGCCAAGGTTCTGTGCAAATCACAGGAAGTCATCATTATTGTTGTGGTAGGATCCACCTAATTTGCATAGTGGAGTACCGACCATATAAATATGGTTGGTACCGGGAAGAGAGGGAGGAATCAAGAGATTCAACCAGAGACTCTGCCCGACTGCGACTCAGTCAACACATTCTCCAGGAACGGTCTTACCAGAAAAAGACTATATGTAAATATTGTGTACACTTTCTTGTTTCAATACATTTTGTTCTAAGTACATTTTGTGTTGCATTATTATTCCATGCATTAGTCAAGTTTCAACAATAATCATGGGTGACCTAAACGCCAAAGTAGGCAGGGGAAAGTCAGGAGGGTATAGCAGAAAGATTCGGACTAGGAACCCGCAACGAACGCTGAGAAAAATGGATCCAATGGTGCACAGCCAATGACCAGGTAATAGCCAACAAATGGTTCCAAGAACATCCGAGACGACTACGGACATGAAGGAGGAGAAACTAAAAAACCAAATTGATTATATAACCATCAACAAAAGATTCAGGAATACAAGGATTCACTGCAAAACCTACCCAAGCACCGACTGCGGGAGCGTTCATCGCTCTCTTATATGTAAACTAAGAATGAAACTGCGGAAATTGAAGAAACCTAACTCTTTTCTACAGATACATGTCTACATCAGATGTTTGTAACAATGACTAAATAATGTGTCATTTATTTGAATGCATTTCTATTGAAGACAAACAGGATACTTTATGCAGGCAGTGAGAAGAACGAAAAAGGAGTAGGACTAATACTAGATAGTGAACGCATGAAATGCGCTCTAGGATACCACCAACTTTCCGAAAGAATTCTAGTATTGAAGCTGAAAAGGAAACCTTTCAACGTGGCTGTTATAGTTGTGTACGCGCTGACGGCACAAAGCAGAGAAGAGGACATCGAATCGTTCTACTCCATGCTGGACAGTGTCAGGGTTCTATGCAAATCACAGGAAATTGACTCATTATGTCCCCCAACATTTCGAATCTTTCTAATTCTAAGCACAATTCCCATTTTCCTTAAAGCTTCCTTGTTGCTAAAATGCTCCCTCCATGATATTGTCAGGGTCCTTCTGTAGAGTCCGTCGTTAACTTTCTGAGCGACGGTTCGGTTCAACTCTCTGTCTACGGACGGAGAGGAACCCGAAGGAGGCTACGCCGAACGGCGGAGTCTCCTTCATGTAAAACCGGCCCTGAACCTGTTTATACGGGTTCAAATGGGCTATTTTTTGGCCGAGCCTAATGGCTCGGAAATGCCCTCGTTAAAAAGGCCTTGTGCCACATGACGCCCTCGTGGGGGGGACTAAATATAGTCCTTCTGTAGAACCCCATCTCTGTAGATCCGTCTCCTGCCCATCTCTGAAATAATTGCCCAGCATTCACTGTCATACAAGTTTGTTTTTACAAAGGAGTTTAGCTCTCAACTTTGCTTCTAACAAAATTGTTCCTGTTTTTTAATACTTTTCTTTTAACATTCGGAAGGCATCTTCCGCTATTCCAATGCACCCTCGGAATTTTCGTGTCGCGTTTTCCGATCTCTGTTAAAACATTTTCCATTTATTTAACTTTCTCTATTCCCTTGATGTTAACATCTCTAACTTATATCTCGCATCTGAAGCTGCCCATTTTACTATCGACTAGATATTCTCTTTCTTGCTTGATGCTTAGGGCTTTCTTCTCGCTTACCTTGTCTGTGAATCCTGGTATTTTTTTCTTTCTGTGCCTGCTATAAGCACAGTACTATCTCTTCATAAAACTTCCTATTTCTTAATACTTTTCTTTTAACTTTTGTAAGACATCTTCCTCTATTCCAAAGCACCTTCGGATTTTAGTGTCGCATATTTCCACCCTGTATTAAAATATTTCACAATCATTTACATTTTCTCTACTTGCTTCATATTGACATCTCCAATTTGTTACTCGTATCTGCGACTGACCGTTTTGCTG